GGTGAAAAGTAAGGCATTAGACAAGGTAAGATCTTGCAAAAACCATTTCACAAGGCATCAGAGGCCACGTAAAGATGTGTGAAGAAGAGTAATGACCCTCTAAGGATGGACAGTGAGTTAGAAAAGCAGAGAAAGAAGGATGGAATTGAAGATTATGTTTCAGAAAAGATTCTTTGAGGGCATGGTGGCACACACCTGTAATCCTTGCTACCAGGGAAGGCTGAGGCTGGTGGATCACTTAAGATCTGGAGATCTGAGCTGCAGTAGGACTAAAAGCCAACTGGTTATCCTCATGGGATCTGGCACCAATATGGTAAAATCTTGGGAGCAAAATGCTACCAGACTGTCTAAGGAGGGTCAACATGGCACAGGCTGGAAACAGAGCAGACAAAATCTTCTATTTTTAACATAGCAGTGGGATAGGGCCAGTAAATGGCTGCTAAACTACCAGTGTGGGTGTGAAGGGAGATCTAGTCTCAAAAAAAAAATTCAGTAGTGAATCATTAGCAGCTCAATTTGCAAATTGCCAGGGGATGGTTAAATAGCTGTCAATATAGACTTGTTAGAAAACACAGAAGCAATCCCTCTGGAACTGTGCCAATCTGGATTTGTATTGGGCATGGGTGGGGATGTGAGGAAGAGTTCATCCTGGTGAAAACAGTCTCTGGTTGGTAAGTGTCAGATAAATTTCAGTGTAGGAAAATCTCAAAGTTGGAAGAGATGTTGGTGGCATGTAGTCCAACTCAACACCCTCACAGGACATCCCAACGACATCCTCAACAAGTGGTTATTCAGGCTCCTGTGAAGGAACCTCCATGGAAAGGCTGAGCTTCTCCTCAGGCAGCCCATTCCATTTTGGGGCACATCTGATTCTGAGGAAGTTTTTCCTTACCTTGAGCCAAAGTCTGCCTTTCTGAAATTTCCACAGGACTATTAGCCCTCTGGGGCTAAGCAAAGCAAGCCTAACCCTTTTTCTAAATGACACCCCTTTAAACATTTGAGAACAGTGATCATGCTCCGCCCCCCCCAAGTCTTCTCTACTCTTTGTGAAATATTCTCAGGTTCTTCAACTGATTTTTATATGACATGGTCTAGACATGGTAAAGCTTATCAATATATTTTCTAAAATGTGGCATCTAGAATTGCATTTCCTCCTTTGTTAAAACTTCTGACTGTAGAAAATTAGCAGGAGACATAGTTATCTTTTTTTTTTTGGCTAGGCAATGGGGTCAAGTGACTTGCCCAGAGTCACACAACTTCTAAGTGTCAAGTGTCTGAGGCCAAATTTGAACTCAGGTCCTCCTGACTCCAGGGTCAGTGCTCTATCCATTGCACCACCCAGCTGCCCCTAAGACATAATTATCTTGAATGAACTAAGTCTTTCTATCCTGTCTCAATACAGAGCATTGGAATGAGCTGGGGAAAGAGAGAAGATACTGTGGAGGACAGGAACTCAGACTTTAATTATTTGAAGAACTATTTTGTGAAAGAGGCATCAGGCTTATTCTGCTTGGCTTCAAAGGGCAAAACTAGAAGCAATGAGGTTGTAAAAAGGCAGATTTGGGCTTAGGGATAAGGAAAATTTCATATCAGTTATAGATGTTCTAAATTGGAGTCATCGATGAGTTCTCCATTTGCAGAGACCTTAAAGGAGAGGGCAGATGCTGACATACAAAGAATGTTCCTTATACAATCAGGGGATTTCAGAGAGAAGGAACCTCTAAGGCCCTATAGCCTAACCCCTACTTGATTAATTATCAAATGAGATATTTGTAAAAGCACTTACAGGCTTGGCCTAGAGGATTCTGTGATTTTGTGTAGTGTTAAATTCAACTCTAAGTGTCTCTTTGGGGGGGGCGGGGCTAGGCAATGGGGTTAAGTGACTTGCCCAGGGTCACACAGCTAGTAAGTGTCAATTGTCTGATCTGAGACCAGATTTGAACTCAGGTCCTCCTGACTCCAGGACTGGTGTTCTATCCACTGCACCACCTAGCTGCCCCTAAATTCAACTCTACTTAGACCAAGCTGTGATCTCATCAGTGTGAGCGCTCCCTGCGCAGGTACAAATTGCAGCCCTTTCATGACTTTACATCCTCAATGGTTCTTTTCCATGTGTTTCTGTAAATCTTCCATAGAAGATCAACCAACCCAATCTAGCTTCTTGAGATTAGCCCATTATTATAGTACACGGGAGATTACAGTACACAGAAATAGCAATGTTGTAATAATGATCATCCGTAAAAGGATTGGCTACTGTGATCAATACAATGATCCAAGACAATTTCAAAGGACTCATATCCACCTCCAAAGAGAGAAGTGATGAATTCTGAGTGCATATTGAAGTATTTTTATCACATTATTTTTCTTGCTTTATAAAAATGGCTAATATGGAAATACATTTTGCATAATTTGACATGTATAATTGATTTCATATTGCTTGCCTTCTCAGTGGGTGTGGGAGGGGTTGGAGGGAGGGAGAAAATTTGGAGCTCAAAATTTAAAAAGAAAAAAGTGTTTTAAATAAAAAATAAATTAAAACCTTTCTTTTTTAAAGTGGAATTAGTTGAGGCTGGGAGGAATGGTTCAGCTCAGATGTTGCGCCTGGCTCTTTGCCTACCTGCAACATCTTTATGGTACATGTGGATCATCAAAGGAATCTCTGCTGCTCAAGAATTGTGACTTATGTAGCAGAATTAGAAAAGGAAAAGATGAGGAAAAGTGTGATCTTATCTACCTGGAGCTCTGAATTATACTCTGGATTATCCTAGGTGAACTTACCCCAAATTTTCTATCCCTAGAGAAGATGCTGGTGCCCAGCATTGCCCATCAGCAACATTATAATAAGAATGGAGGTTCAGCAGTAATGCAGTCGTTAGCCTCACTGCAAATAGAAAAGGCCAATGCCATTGGGGATGGATCAGTAAGAAGATTCTATGTAGGGTGTCCCAAGAACCTTAGTGCAGTTTCAAGCTCTAATAGCTTAGGACACACTAATCCTAGTCCTAGAGTGAATAGAGGAAAAAAAAAAAACCAAAACAAAACAAAGGACATCTTATAATTAGGTATTGCCCTTTGGTTAAAAAAAAAAAACCTTAGATATTTAGGAAAAGTGCCTAAAGAGAACTGAAAAAAAATTGTTTTAAACCCTTCTGGATTTCGAAACCAAAGTGTCTCGTGTACCTTAGAATATATGAGCCAGAGCTCAGGATATGGATGCAAGCTCCAGCTCTGCCATTTTAAAGCCCCGATGTATTTTTCCCATTGGATAAAACAAGACAAAGTTTGGAAATCAGCCTTTCACTTAAGTAAATGATGACTACCTGTGGGTAAGGCAGACAGGAGGATGGGGTGGAAGGGTTTCCTGGCCAACCAACAAGAGTTCCGTTGCCCTGTTTAATGAGCTGTGTGTCACTCTCTGCATGGGGGTAAGTTCTCAAAATGAAACACCAGTTATGAGATCTCTTGGCCACTGCCTGAGATTGACTCTGAGTTCTGATTGCTTTTATGAGACAGCATGAGGTAGTGGAAAGAATACTGAATTTGGGGTCAGGATACACCTGTGTTCAAATCCTACTCGTGACATTTGCAAGCTGTGTAACCATGGTAAGTCCCCAACTTCTCTAAGCCTCAGTTTTCTCATCTGTAAAATGGGAAATAATAATACATGTAGTACCTACCTCATAGAGGAATGTGAGGATCAAATGACATAATGGATGTAAAGTGTTTTGTAAACCCTCTAGCAATATATATATTTCAGCTATTACTATTAGTGAAGGAACAGGAAGGAAAGCACTTATTTAAATAACATTTTGCACTTGACTATTTCCCCACTGACATAATAACACTGAATATTTTAGGGGTATTGTTTTGTTGTAGGTGATTTCCATTGATGAAATTCTTTCTAACAATGCAGACAAATGCAATCAGGGTTAAGTGACTCGCCCAGGGTCACACAACTAGTAAATATAATGTTAGATTTGAACTCAAGTCCTCCTCATTTCAGGGCCAGTGCTCTATTCACTGTACCACCTAGCTGCCCCCATTTCTTTTATTCTTTAAGCATGTAGGTACCAATGAGGGGCTATTTCCAGCCTTAGAGTCTTCCTTCCCCCTAGCAAGGTGGGAACAGTAGATTAAAATATTATACATCTAGATTGTGTGAAATAATAGAAAAGTCAGAGAATGCATAGCAGCTTTTTCTCTCTTCCTTCACACAGCCTTTCACTTTGTCCCACTTTGAGGCCCTTATCATATAATATTGTATATTATAACTAACCATGTTTGTGGTTTATCCATTCTGAGATGATAAACCCCATTAGGGCAGAGATGAGGGCTTGTCTAAAATATCTATTTCTTCCCATAGCACAGTGTTGCTTACAGTGATAGTGTAGTGGGAACAGTCCTGGATTAGGAGTCAAAAACTGGATTTGAATTCTTATTCTTACCCTTATTATGTGTGTAACCTTGGATAAATCATTTAACCTCTCTGGGCCTCAGTTTCCTCATCTATAAAATAGAGATAATAATAGTATCTCCATTTTATAGTTATCCCCATTTTGTAGTTGAAAAATTAAGGCAAAGGAAACTATCTCAAAGGATTAAATATAAACGCTTTGTAAACATAAAATGTTTGCATTTTAAGTTGTTATTGTTATTATTATTAATAACTCCCTTCACTTTGGTGTGCTTTAAGATTTATGATTCACTTTCTTTACCATACCCTTATGCAGTGGGTAGTGCCACTATTATTGTACTATTTTATAGAAGAGGAAACTGAAATTTACAGAAAGAGCTAGTAAGTGTCACATGATAAGGTATTAATATAAACAGTTATAATATGCTATTAATTTAAGATTTTTTTAAAAAGATAAGTGGGACTTGAACCCAGGTCTCCTGTTTCTAGGTCCAACATGCTTTCTACTACCACAATTAAAGAGCGCTTTCAACACTACAGAAAGAAGGTGATCTACATATAATCTTTTATCTCTGCTCATTTCCAGGTTTTCTGGGATTTCATTGCCAGGAGATAAATACTTCTAAAGGACCATGAACACAATGAGACTGGCCTGCCTGGTCCTGGCTGCTTTAGTAGGAGTTGCTGCTGGCAAAGCAGATGACTTAGGGAGCAGTGAAGAGGGAAGGGAACAAGAATTCGTTTATCTGAACAGGTATAAGAGAGCCAGTGACTCTCAGGACAAGTGCACATACACATTCATTGTGCCACAGCAGAGAGTCACCGGGGCCATCTGTGTCAATTCCAAGGAACCTGAGATTCAGCTTGAAAACCGCGTACACAAACAAGAACTGGAGCTACTGAATAATGAGCTTCTAAAGCAGAAGAGACAGATTGAAAGTTTGCAGCAACTGGTGGAAGTAGATGGCGGGATAGTCAATGAAGTCAAGCTCTTACGGAAGGAGAGCCGCAACATGAACTCTCGGGTCACGCAGCTCTATATGCAGCTCTTGCATGAAATCATTCGCAAACGGGACAATGCGTTAGAGCTCTCCCAGCTTGAGAATAAGATACTCAACCAAACGGCTGACATGCTTCAGCTCGCCAACAAATATAAGGACCTAGAGCACAAATACCAGCATTTAGCCACTCTGGCCAACAACCAGTCCACCATCATCGCTCAGCTAGAAGAACACTGTCAGAGGATGCCAGTTGCCAGACCCATCCCACAGCCGCCTCCTCCACCACCACCAAACCGGGTCTATCAGCCTCCCACCTACAATCGGATCATCAACCAGATTTCCACTAATGAGATTCAGAGTGATCAAAATTTGAAGGTGCTTCCCCCAACTCTTCCCACAATGCCTACAGTCACTGGCATCCCAATCTCAACTGATAAACCATCTGGTAAGTCACTCTGTCTTTACAGTCAACCACAGATACTTCTTTAGGAACATCTACTCTAAAAACAGAGAGATCAGTAGATTTTAAGGCTACCATTGGCAACCATTTAACATGGTAAAGTACGGTAGAGGTAGCATTGAATTTGGAGTAAGAAGACATGGGTATAATTTCTGGCCCTCCTCCCTCTTATTTTTTCACTTAGGTGACCTTGGAAAAGTCATGCAACTGTTCTGAGTTTCAAAATCCTCATTTATAAGATGAAGGAATGAGATTAGATCAGCAGCTCTCAAATTTTTTGGTCTCAGGACCCTTTTACACTCTTAAAAATCATTGAGAATCCCAAAGAGCTTTTGTTATGTGGGTTATACCTACTGATACTGTATTAGAAATCAAAATTAAATATTTAAAATAATCATTTATTCATTTAAAACAATAATAAACCCATTACATGTTAAAGTAAATGACATTTTATTTTTTAAAAAAAACCTATATTTCCCAAAACAAAGGAAATTTAGTGAAAAGAGTGGCATTGTTTTACATAGTTTTGCAAATCTCTTTAATATCAGGTTTAACAGAAGATATCTGACTTGTCATATCTGCTTCTCCATTCAAGTTGTTGCAATGTGTTGTTTGGTTGAAATATGTGAAGAAAATCTGGCCTCAGATAAAGGCAGGAGTATTTTAATGGGCAATAACATCTTAGTATTATTATGAAAATAGTCTTAACTTTCAGACTCCCTGAAAAGGTCTTGGAGAAATCGAGGGGTCCATTGGCCAAACTCTGAAAACTGCTGGACTAGATGATCCCTAAGGTTCACTCTAGTTCTGTAATTTGGCACAAAAAAGATAAATAATAATTCATATTTCCACGGCATTTAAAAGTTTACCAGGTACTTTCCCCATAAGTTATTTGAGGTAAACAGTACAAGCATCATTACCCTGATTTTCCATAGAGTCTCAGAGAGGTTAAATGATTTACTCAAGGTTCCATGACTAGTTTTTGGAGGAGCAGAGTTACAAACCCAGTTCTTTTAATTCCGTATTTCTTAATCTTTCTACTATACCATTCTGTCACATAAAATTCATGAGAAAGGAAATATTTTTGGAAAGGTATTGAAAACATAAAAATAGTGAAGAGAACTTTTTTTTTAAAAAAAAGACAAACTTGATTTTGCTCTACAGGCTTATAATGTCTATTTTGAATAAGTATGCCAAAGAAAGAGAGAGTTGTCACTTTAAGACTATATCAAATTAATTTCTTCTGGGCATCTTAACATGCCAATACATTTTTGGTGATGCCTGTCCTTCAATATTCAGTTTTGAAATGTATAATTTTTCTGGAAACAGAAATATTCCATCTAATGTCATTCTAGTTCCATAAAAGACATTGCGTGAAACAATGATCTAGAGGCAGTGAGTTTCATTGGAGCAATATGAGAGGGGAGGGCAATGAAAGGGAAAGCAGAGAAGGAGAATGGTGATGATAAGGAGAGGAGAAGAAGGTAAGGAAGGATAGAGGAGAAAAGAAGAAGGAAGAGGAATGGATATGAAGGAGAATGGAAGAAAAGTGAGATGAGGGAGAAGAGGAGCGAAGAATAAAGAGGAAGAAAAAGTGAAACCTGTCCTCTTTTCCTTCCCTCCTAATGGTCCTATTATAAAAAAGTTAGATACTAAGACTATCAGAGAGATTGTATTGGTTTCTGGTAGCGTATGTTATCTAGGTAAGAAGGCAAAACAGCAAAAAGGTTTTTCCACAGTACATTAGAGTTAAAAGACACTTCAAAACAAAGAATGTCACAGTTGAAAGGGAACTTAGAACGCAGAATGGACCTTGGAATATAGAATCTCAGATACAGCCCCAATACAAGCTGTTTGGGCTGGAAGGGAATTAGGCCATAGGATGTTATAAAACAGAACATGAGCTATTAAAGCTAGAAGGGGCATTAGAAACCATCTAATACAATTTGATACTAGCTGCTACCACTGTGCTCCACCCAACCCCCAACTCTGCCACGAGTCAGAGGAGGTAATAGACTTTACCAGAGTTACCCAGGGAGTTAGTGGAAAAACTAGGAATCGAATCTTCTGCCCCCTGATCCAGTCCTCATTTCCCTGCATTATTTTGCCTTTCTGTGAAAGTGTTAAATACCTTGCTTTAAGAAAACTCATGATATGACATTGACTTCGTAAATCAGATAATATAAGTGATTTCTCACATCAGAAAAGACCATAAAATAGTAATGGAACTCACCTAGATTTCAAATATATATTTGATATATATATATATATTACTTTTCATGCACAGATCTATTACCTAAAGCAAGCAATAAATATGTGGGAAACTTTGACTATGTAGAATTTTCTTTTAGAAGAAAGAGCAAAGATATTAGTTCATTACTAGGGCTTAACCTGAAAAGAGCAGTAGTGGGACAGATGGAGAAAAGGAGAAAATTAACAGGGGAAAGTTACCACTGAGGACAGCAGGAGCTATTCACACTGCAATTGGTGCAATTCACACTGGAAATAAGCTGTTTTTGTGCGGGGGAGCAGCTCCCTCTAAGTCATTCCACAGAGGAAGTCTACAGGCTAGGGGTGGGGTGGGGTGGGGTGGGGGTTGAAGGCGGGAACATTCAGGGCTCAGTTTGATCTTGCTGACGGGGTTGTCCCCCATATCTCTGGATCACTTCACCTTTCTTAAAATATCCATTTTGTCTTTGTTTCAAAGTGGCCACAATGAAATCTCAATTCAAATATTTATAAGTATACTGAACAATAGCAACTCACATGTCTACATGTTAGTGCTTGCAGAGTACTTTCCTGACAGCAACACTGTCAGGTGGGTAGTACAGGTATTTTTATCACCATCTTACAGGTCAATAAACTGAAGATCTGAAAGTTTAAGTGACTTGTCCAGGGTCATGCAGCTAGTAAGTATCTGAGTTGGGATTCCAACCCCGTTCTCCTGACTCACAGGCCAGTATACTTTCAACTTTGCCAGTAAATTTCAGGTTTGAAATTAAATCACCACGGTCATTGAGCACAAAACTGATCTCCCTGCTTCTAGGCTTTCTTCATTCTTTAAAGCCACCAAGATAATCTTCCTAATACAAAGCTCTGATCATACTACTCCCCTCCTCAAGACCCTTCAAGAGTTTGTCATTGTCTAATGGATAAAATGCAAACTCCTTAACCTTGCATAAACAAAAAGAAATTTAGTCCTTATAGATGGAATAGACCATTGAGTTCATCAAATACAATTGCTTCATTTTACATATGAGAAAACTCAGGACTAGAGAGGCTAAGTGACTTACTCAATGTCACACAGGTAAGGAGTGTCAGAACTAGAATTTGAACCTAGTTCTTCTGATTACAAGTCCAGTGCTATGATTTAAGGCCTTCTGCAACCTAATTCCAACTAATTTTTCCCATTTGACTTCATTCTGCTTCCCTTCCCATGGTCTACATTCAATCTCCAGCTATCACAAGGTGGTCTGCCATCTTGAGTTTGCCTGCTCTCTCCGGCCTTTCTATATTTGCACAGATCATCCTTTGTGCTTGGGTTACTCCTCCTCCTTCAATTCTCAGCTCATTTACAACATCTTCTATGCATTTCACTAATCTCTGCAACTGAAAATGACCTCTCCCTCCCCAAATTTTCCTAGAGCACTTGGTCTGAATTTCTCCTCTGCCTCATCACACAATACCTTGTTTTATAGTTATGTCCCTGTAGTCCTCCTATCCCAGGAGAATGTAAACCTCTTAAGCGAGCTCCCCAACACTAGGCATAAGGCATAATAAAGTGGGGACAATAATAATATCTACCTCCCAGGTTGTGAAGATAAAATGAGGTAATACTTGTAAAGTGCGATGCAAACTTTAAAGCATTATATAAGTGCTAGCTATTATTAGCATAGTAGTAGTTGTAATAGTTGTAGTAGTAGTAGTAGTTGTAGTAGTAGTAGTAGTAGTTGTAGTAGTAGTAGTGGTAGTGGTGGTGGTGGTGGTGCTGCTGCTGGTGCTAGTGCTGGTGGTGGTAGGTGTTTAATAAATATTTGCTGGGTTGAATCAAATTGAATGAAATTAAAAGGCATCATGCATGGTAGATAAGGACACAGATAGGGTTCAAACACCAGCACTGTAACTCTGGGTAAGTTATTTATCTTCTCTGTATCTCAGTTTCCTCATCTCCTTGATGGCCATTAAGGTCCTTTCCAGTTCTATAATCTTATGATCCCTTCAGTTAAATGAACTAATGCATGTAGAATAAAAGAGAACTGAAGGCTTCAAGGAACACTATTTCTAGGTGAGGATGGAGGAAGCTAATACATACATAGCCTAACACAAGGACCCATTTTCCTTAGATCCAACTGGCCTAAGCCAAGCACTGCAATCCCCCATAGAAAGAGAGTAAAAAATGCCACTGTATGAAAATTGTCCTGCTTACTTTACTGATACTGAAGTGTAAACCTCCCCACTCCTTTACTCAATGAGTGGTTGGGTATCTCTCAACAGTCATTCTTAGAATGTTAGGGCTAGAAGAGATCAATCTAATTGAGGGTTTCTTTACCTGGGGTTCATGAGAGCAGTCTGTGGATAGATTTTGGGGGATCTGTGAGCTTGGACAGGAAAAAAAATTCACTAACCTCTAACTTAAATTTAGCATTTCCTTTATTTAAAAACATGCTTCTGAGAGGGGGTTGGTCTGTGAGCCTCATTAGGCTGCTAAAGGGGTTGAGGCTACAGAAAAGGTTAAGACCCCCTAGTCTAGTCTGAACCTCCCATTTTACAGAGAAAGAATGGAAAGTGAGTTGTCCAAAGGCTCACAAGCTAGGGACTTGAACCTGGGTCTCCATCCTTCAAATCTAGCTCCTTTTCTATTCACAACTAGAGAATTTTAAGTTCTAGTTATTGGGCCATATTCTCCCCAACACTGTTCCCCAACCCTCACCCCCCTGGCTGCCTGAAAGGCAGGGCGCAGCAGCCCTGTCAGCTCTATGGTCCTT